ATTAAACAAAAACAGACCTTCACTCGACAGGTCTACACATACGGTGTTCCTCAAGTCAAACCCTTAAGCCATTCATAAAAACCAGCTACTGAATTACCTCGAGACTATGTAAATGCCATAGGGGAGAGAGAGAGCGAGAGAGAGAGAGAGAGAGAGAGACAGAGAGTTTGCTTTGCACACAGCATAACCACTATCCATTTGCTGCCTGAACCACCATCAATGCTGTACAGGCACAAACAGAACGAACAAATGAGGATTATAGTGTGAAAATTTAGAGCAAGAAAACATTAATTGAAAAACCAAATTCACCAAAGATTCGAGCGCAGTTGACACGCAAGGAAACAGAAACTGGAGATGGAGTTAAGAGAAAGTGAAAGCAACACCATAAAAAGAAGAAATTCTAAATAAAACTGAGATCAAATGCATGTAAGAGTTTGGGAGTAGAGAGAGAAAACACAAGCATGTAATCGTAATGCAAAAAGATTAGGGGTTCAGAGTTAAATGCAAGATGAGAAAAAAAGGAGAACTGGAAACCGAGCAAGTAAGATTCACCATGCAGTGGGAGGAAGTAAATCAAGTAAATGGTGATTAAATAACTCTAAATCATAAGAGAAAGTAAATATCAATGGATTAAGAGCGAGAAGAGTTGATGACGATTGAATACCTCAGCTTCAGCTTTGGCCTCTTCAGCCTTGATTCCATCTTCGCCTGCCGACATGAAAACATTATTAAGCAATTTTATAAAGCAGGGAAGAAAAGAAATAGTTGAAAGCGAGACTTTGAATATAATTAACCAATAACTAACCTTCACCTTCAGGAAGGTCAGAAGTCCAGAGAGTGAGGTTATCCCTGAGCAACTGCATGATCAAAGTGCTGTCCTTGTATGATTCTTCACTAAGAGTGTCTAGCTCTGCAATGGCCTCGTCGAATGCTTGCTTGGCCAAATGACAGGCCCTGAAAAAACAAACATCATGTGTTCTTCAAGAGAGAGATAGAGAGAGAGAGAGGAGGGTGGGGGGAATGATTGCCAAAATGTACTCTGATATTCATCATATAGAAATTTAACCAGATATGTGTAAGCGGCATGTACAAGATACACACACAAAGAAACAGACAATTGTCACATCGTACTCTCTAACAAACATAACACTGTTTTGAAATCTAACCATATATGTCTCGTGCACACAGCTCAAGTTCGAGCTGCTCTTTTTTTTCTTTTTTTTTGTCAGGAGGGTGGTGGTGGTTTTTTTTTTTTCTGGGGTGGGGGGGGGGGGTAAGAGCATTTCTCCCCTTGCTGTAGATAGAGAGAGCATTGTTCCACTTCCTGACAGAGAGAGCGAGAGAGACAAGGCACAATAGTGCTCCTCTTGCTCTTTGGGGGGGCAGGTGTGTGTGTGTGGGAAGAGTGTGTCCTTTTTTTGGGGGGGGATTGATCGTATCAGGAAAATCTAAGATGCAAGCATGAAGTATGACGAAATTTTACCTCTCAGGAGAATTCATAATTTCGTAGTAGAAAACAGAAAAGTTGAGTGCCAGGCCAAGCCGAATAGGATGGGTCGATGCAAGGTCAGTGTTTGCAGTGTTGGAAGCAGCCTAAAATATGAAAGAATAATACCCACAAATGTGACCAAATAAGAAGCAGGTCAGATAAAAAAGGGACCATTTCGACACAATTTTTGTATTCCAGAGTTAACCTGATAGGCCCTCAATGACTGATCCGCTGCTTCTTTCCTATCGTGGTCTGTCTTAAACTCTGCTAGATAACGGTAATAATCACCCTTCCTGCATTCAATAAGACATCAGAAACGGAGAAAGAATGGAAGTGAGACAAATGTTTCTTTGGTCCTGTTGAGGTCATACCCTCCAGTTCATTCACAATTTAGATCCCAGACTATTGAAATCGAAACAAATATAGCATACGACCCTCCAAAGTCGAGCAAAGAAGACAACAGAGAGAAAAAAGAACTCACATTTTGTAATAGAAAACAGTTGATTCTCCAGACGCGGAAGAGGGGATCAAGTGTTCATCAATAATGGTGAGGATATCATAACAGATCTTGGATAGTTCTTCCTCAACCTTTTGGCGATAAGACTTGATCCTTTTGACATTCTGCTCATTACCCTTGGTCTCCTCTTTCTGCTCTATAGAAGACATGATGCGCCACGAGGCTCGACGAGCACCAATAACATTCTTGTAACCCACTGACAGAAGGTTCCTCTCCTCGACTGTCAACTCCAAATCTAATTTCGCAACTTTCTTCATTGATTCCACCATTTCTACAACGATGAACACATTATCAAAACAAGTAAAGCCATCAATAACCTCTCTATGGGCCAAAAAGCAAAAGGGCCTTTGATATTGCTATCATACAATTTGCAAGAGCGTGTGTGTGTGTGGGAGAGAGAGAGAGAGAGAGAGAGAGAGAGACAGAGGAAGGATTGGAAGTAGAAGCCCCAAAAAAATCAAACAAAAAAGGGAAAATGATAACCAAAGCAAATTCTTCTCATCTAATGGTGAAAAAAATGTAGTCATAAACAATCCATAAACCGACGAATTTATACAGCATGGAGTGAAAAATAAAGGTGAAATATAAGCCCGATGCATGAAAATAACAAAACTTAGTGTTTGGTAATTAAACTCTCTAATTAGATACCAATAGCTATTTATTTTCATTTTTAAATTTAATTCTTTAAGAGTTTAATTAATAAGTTATATTTTTTCTTTCCCACTTACATTTCCTCAGCAGATGTAACGGACAGTTTACATGCTCATCAATGCTGGTGGCCAGGGTTTAGGGCTCTAAAAGCCTAAAATTAAGCAAATACTTGGCCATTTGGTTACCAAAGCAATTAACAAAACGACATCCTGTGGCCACATATACTAGGGTTCCTTCTACTTCTTTTTTCTTTTTTTTGTCAATCAGCCAAATATAAGTAGGCCCAAAAGGATATGATTAAAAGTAGTAAGAAAAGATATGGGGACTTATGGTCTCATTGAGGTTAGTAGAGTAGAATAGCGGATCAAGATTCGTGTAGCTGACCCCAATTAATTGGAGAAAGGCTTTGACGATGATGAATCAGCAAATTATAACGCAGGCTAGGAACAATAGCAGCGTTTTGAAGAAGTAGGTACAGTCGTTACTTAGATAAGTCAGCTACTATAATATGACTCTAATAACGCAAACAGCAGTTAGAAGATAATCCGGCTAATCTCTTATTGAATCTGTCTTCCTGTCTTTTCTTTAAATAAACAACCCACCTAAACAAACAGCAACAAAAATATAGTGCAAAGAAACCTGCAATCAAAATCTCAACATGTATACATCACAAAAGTAAAACAGAACGACAGCAGAAAAAGGTCCTGCCATCCTTTCACATGTAAACATAATAAATATTACAAATAACTAAGTCACCAAGTATTAAAACTAAATACGTCACCAACAAATAAATTTTGGTCTTCCTTCAAGTGAAGAAAATATCACAGCAACAATCATCTAAATATTGTTATTTCTCTTAGTCTTCCAAGAATACGGAATCACATCTATCAATTTCATAGTATTAGTACAGAAGATTCAATTTTTCTTGATGCTCTTGATGACTAGATATAGTTCATATTCAGAATGCAGAACTATGCCATAGATACCACAAGAGCATCCACAGTCCTTCAACAACAATAAACTTCCACCATCCTACAAAGAAGATACCCCTGTTGTATACAATATACCATACAGCACTGTATGTACAAAGGGTCCTCGTGCTATTGGATGAGAAAGTCCATGACATGCAATATTTACCCCAGAATATCTTTTTTCCAAAGGAAATAAAATTTACATCATTAGAATGCATTTATTTTTTTGGATTTTTTTGAAAAATAAATACAATCACTCTTCAAATTAAACAAAGGAATCAGTACAATGTGAAAACAAATTATGCAAGCTTATGAATGCAATAATAATAACGATGACATCATTAAGCCAGGAAGGGAAGACCAGTCTATAGTGACCACACCATCCATGTCACAACAAGGGCTGCTAGGACTTGGATGATGATCCCTAGTTAGACAATTAGATCCCAAAAGCTTGCAAAACACCAAACACACAGTACTCATGCAGCTAATACAGATCATGTCTAACATACATGAAGAAAATCCATTAATCACTCCAATCCATAACTACATTCTCTGGAGATTTTATCAGCAAATGGAGCATTCAATTTTCAAGAAACAAGCATTTATTCCTAAATTAACAAAGACAAGAATAGTTCACCCAAAGGGAAAAGGGCTGACGTCGTGGTGATAGTACCCCCCCATACCTCAGTTGCATGTTTTGGCTTCCATTCCCACTGAAACCTTAAAAACCACTAACCATTTCAAAAACGGGTAGGGGCATGTATTCCCCACTGAATTACCAAAAAAAAAAACAGAATAGTTCACCCAAATAAAAAGAACTGCAAGGACATACAATTCGTTATAGTTTAAAAAAGATTGCACAACATACCAAATCTGATCATGCACATTAGCCATATGTTCACAATAGTGTACATAAGTTCACTTAAAAACTGCGATTCAAATACAATGAAATGAGATCATAACGTAAAAGTATCCCCCTCTGCCTCAAAAAGAGAAATACCGACCTAATACCCTGAAGCAGAACAGTCGTTAAGTGCATTCCCTAAGAAATGAGAATTAACGATCTCCCAAAGGATGGAACACGAGCTAAGACAACATAGTTACTCCAATAAAAAAGAACCAACTGAAACCTTAGATCCTAAAGCATGTAATTGAAACCTATATAACATATTCAAGACCTTGGCTGAGTAACTCGGCCTCTGCCTACAGCAGAGGGGAGTTCCAGGGGACAACTCTGCCCTTGTTAAAAATTATTTAAAAAGTTACTAATTTGGTCTAAAAAGTTATATATTATTTAGAAAAAAATTATATGATTTATATGGTTTTTATTGTGATTTGCGAATTTTTATTATTGCATACTCCAAATTTTAATTTTTTCAATTCTTTCATTTTTCTAAAATATTTCAAGGTATAAATCAAAATTTTCGACAATCCATCTTTTATGTACTTGTTTGGACTCTTATAGACTTCAAATGATTTCTGTTACCTTTTTTTTGAAAATTTTAATCATTTCTATTACTTAGTTTATCTTTTGCTATTTTTAAATATTTTTAACAAAAAATTTGCCTTTTTTTGAACTTATAGGTTTTTTGACCTGAACAGAACTCAGGTCGAGTCCACTTGACTCTGCCCAGGGCTAAGTCCGAGGCCCGAGTTTCAAAACTTGATTTCCAATTAGTTATTCAGCTGTTAACTTGCTGCGAATACAAATATTACAGGAAGAAGAACTCCAAATGATAAAACCCTGAAATAACAAATGACAAGAAAATTGGCTGCAATAAATGAACCTATGGAACATTACACCACAAGAAAACTGCCATTTTATTTCTTTACCAGTTGTAAAGCAGTGATTTATCCGAAAACGTCAGATAACAAAGGAAAAGGGACTTCAAAAAGTAAAATATGGAAGATCTAGGTCAATCGCACTAGAAAACACTGTACATAAAATGGAAATAGGTTACAAGGAACCTTTCATTCTAAACCTTCAAATAAAAGTTTTTTCAAAAATTTGTTTTACCTGTACTCCATTGCAAATGAATACTTGCAGGCAATAGAAATAAGGAAGATCTGTGAATGATCAGCTCAGAAAGTCCAAACCGAGAGTACCAAGGGAAACAAAAATGGACCTCAACAGTATCATCATCTTGAAACTCGAAAATACAATCCGTTCTCCACAAGTTCAAGCATTTCTCTCAGACGAATAAGGCTTCTGAAAAATGCATTTCCGGCCTTAAACATCCACAGATACCAGTAGATCAAGGGCATATCATCTCATAAACAACTAACGTTTGAGCACAAATGGGGACCTGTAACCATAGATCCTCAAACCCTAAACCGAATGCATTTCTGTACAAGTTTGATCCTCAAACCCAAGACCTAATGCATTTTTCTACAAGTTTGATCCTCAAACCCTACACCTAATGCATTTTCCTAGAAGTTTTAGCACTTGTTTGTATGCAAAAGCAGCAGATCATGGTTAAAACAATTCTTGCCATAACTCAGAAGATCTAGGCCGAAAACCAAGTAAAACAAAAAAACTCTAAATAAATAAAAAAAATGGTAACAAATGCATATGAGACATACCATCATATCGCTCGGCCTGCTCGGCGAGCTTGGCCATGTAAACATGGCTTTCTCTCTCCTTCTCTGTCGTCATGGCTAGAGAGAGATTCTAACGAATAAAGTTAGAGAGAGAGAGAGAAGAAAAAAAGAATTTTAGAGAGAGAAATATCGAAAACGTTAGAGAAACCCCTCAACTCCTGAAGCGGGAGAGCATAATATAGGGTTCCGACGCTTAAATATCAAGCACGTCGATGGATGGACAGGGGAATCTGACCGTTGATATCCGAGGTGGAGGCCTAACTGCAGTGATTGTCGTCGAGAGTTGCGAGGTCACTAACTGATCAAATCGTGGCCGTTCATATCCCATGGCAACGATGGCCAGTTGATTTCGGCAGCGCGGAAGAAGTCCACAACTGAATTTGATAGCAGCGGTCGGACTCGGGGAGACGTGAAATGGTGTGAAAATGTGGAATCGATGGGTAGCGGCCATTGGACGGTCAGGATCAGCCTTGGGAGATCTTACGGTAGTTATTGGATTTATCACAGAGATGAACAAAATATACAATGGGAAAAGGTGTAAAGTGTAAAACCATAAAAAATCAATGCAGTTTGAAAAAACGGCATAGGCGACCAAACTTGGTCATCGAAAAATTAGTCTAGGGCGGTGGTCGGGATAGGTCACTTGGCTAAGTGAGTTGGCCAATAAAAATAAAAATAATAAAAAATAAAATAAAATTTGAAAAATAATAAAAATCAGAAGTCGGATTGGACTAGCTGGTTCCCTCACAAAACCGGCCAGTTTTGTCAGAGAACACACCGGTTTAAGCAAGACAAGGTGGTTCTCGATATATGGTGGATACCAGGACCCGACCATATCCAGGACATAACGGGTAGACCCGACTTCGGGTCCGGGTATGGGTCTAATTTTTTGACCTGAATACTATTTGGGTCTGGGTCCAAATGAACCCGAGCCGTACCATAAATAGTTGGAGACAAAATACTTTACTTAAAGTCATATTTGTTTGGGTGTATTAAGGATCGTATACAATAAGAACTCGTAGTCATCTTTAGCTATTATACGACAAATTCAATAGCTTGAAATCTAATGGCGGGTGATTATGATCTTGTTATCAATAATATGGGTATATAATGGTAAAAAAAAAAAAAAAAATTCATATTCATAGGTGGTAATGGGCCCGACCAAACCTATGACCCGATGAGTATAGGTATGGGTCCAATTATTGGACCCGACGGGTTAGGTCTAAGTCCAAAATAGGGACCCAAATGCTATTCAAGTCCACTCGTACCCGACCTGTTGCCACCCTTAGATACAAGACCTTTCCCACCAATTTTTTATATGGATTAGGGGATTCCAATCAAAATTGGCTTTTTTAAAACCCTAGATCAAAGTAAGGACTGCCTCTAAATCTTGCTAAATATATAGTTTGGTGCTAGAAACTCTTATGATGAGCTAAAATTCTAATTATGAAATTTAAAGTTCAAAAAATAGTATTGGCCGAGAAAATTCATAAATACTTTTAAATTTTTAAAATGGATAGTCTAAATAATGTTTTTAATATACACAACTTTTAATATTTAAAAATCTTTATATTTTCATATTTATACATCTTGAGGTCAAGCAATAAGTAACAACATTTTTCAATGTTCAAACAACTTTTACACGTCAATTTCTTACGTGCCACTTTTACATTATAAGGTTGACATCTTATATAAGCATTTTTTTTTTGTATAAAATGGGTGCAATTTATATAAGGCAGCTACTTTAAAAAACGAAAGTTAGATGCAGCTTATATGAATATGTAGTTTTGGTATCAGAAATTCTTGTGATGACTTAAAAAGGGACAATTACATACATATTTGTTATAGTTTTCATTATTACAGTTCTATCGAATAGTTTCCGTTATTAGCACTGTGTCTGTTTTTGTCATGGCAAAACAGAAATTAAAAAAAAAAAACGATTTTACCATTTTTCGATTGTTGAACAACCAAATTCAAAGTACTTTCGGTTGTTGAACAACTGAAAATATACCAATTTTGACCCTTGAAGAATCCAAAATTTAAATTTTTTTTGTGTTTGAAGAACCCAAAATTTTTAATTTTCTGTTAATCAAGAACCCGAAAAATGTTTTCTCTCCCTTGTGACATATTTTCGCTACCTCTCGAAAGTCATAGTTATCCGATAAAATCAAGGGCAACAACTAGTTTGAGCCCCTAAATTCTGGATAAATATTAAGGATTATGAGATTAGAAGATTAGGAGAAATCTTGTGGCTTGGTTATTCGATAAAATAAGGGGAGAAGAGCTAGTTTGAACCTCTAAATTTGGGAGAAATCTCAATGATTATTAACTTACCAACATTCGGTGAAAGGGAGAGAGAGTTAAAAAGAAAGGGCAAGCTTTCTATGCTTCCCCTACAGCATAAAAGTTCTATCCTCCCCCGTATCCAACCGTCCGTTTTGAATAGAGGGCTAAGATTACCGTAATCATAATGTCAAGTCTCTACACTATTTTATTTTTAATTTTTTTTTATTAACTATTTTGACACCAAATTTTGGACGTCCATTCTTCTATTAAACTCGCATTAGCGAAAAATAAAAAAAAATATTTTCAATAAAATAAAATGATCAAAATACCCTTTAAAGATTAAAGGGGTATTTTGATCATTATATTTTATCGAAAATTTATTTTTAACATTTTTTATAGGTGCGTCTCGATGAAAGATGACACATACCAAATTTCATATCCATACAATTTGTATAAAAAAAATTAAAAATAAAATACTTTGAGACGTCGGATCTAAGATCAAACTGTGAGTGGCTTTCTCGATCAAAATTGGACGGCTGGATGGTAGGGGGAAGATAAAACTTCTTTGATATAGGGGAATCATAGAAACCTTTCCAAAAAAAAAAAACAATATTTTTACCCTTGCAATGTAGAGAGAGAGAGAGGATACACAAACCCACAAAAGAGAACAAAAAATTCGGTTATTGAAGAAACAAAAAATTCGGTTATTGAAGAAACAAAAATTTAAAAATTTTGGTTATTCAAAAACCGAAATTGGCCCCGTTAATATTTTGAATTCGGTGGTTTAACAACCGAAAAAAGGTAAAGTCGTATTTTTAAAAAATTTTCGTTTTGACATTAAAAAAATGGAAATTGTGATAATAACGAAAACTATTCGGTAGAGCCGTAATAACATAAACTATAACGGATATATATATAATTTTCCCACCTAAAAATCTATTTTGATTTCTAATTATGAAATTTAAAACTTAAAAAATAGTAGATATTAAGCAAATCAATAAATACGTGAAAATCTTGAAAATGGACATTCTTGATAATGCATTACACCATACATTATATTTTGTACTTCAATTGGTTTTTACACCCATACAACTTGAGGTCAAGATGATTAATTAGACTCTTTTCCAGTATTGGGATAAACCTTCTCTACTGGGAGGTGCACCTCGCTCTATAAATATATGTTTGATGCTTTAGATAAAATTTATGCACCTAAACTACATTCCTCCTTTGTATTTCTTATAAGCATATTATTTAGAAGTTAAAATTATTGTGCAAAATGTTAAGGGTGTGAATCACCATATTTAACACTACAAATGTGGCATTTTTAATTTCATTTCTGTTAAGTGCAACTTAAAAAACACCAAGGAAAATTATAGAAATGCATTGTACTTTTAACATTTGAAAAAATGTTATATATTTTTATTTTTCACTCAAGCCTCACTTTTTGTTTTTTTTTATATTAAAATTACCCTAAATTTTGACCTCTAATGCTCGAGTTCTTTTGTAGTAAATGATCCATTTGTATATTGGATGTCTGAATACAAAGCTATTTTCGGATATCCAATATTCGAACTCGCTACTATCCAAAAACTAGAGAAAGAGTGTCCTCAACATCTAATGTAATTTAAAATAGAGTGCGGTTTGTATAGAACCGATGTTCTAAATAATTAAAGTAAAGCACACTTTCAAATAGTATTGAGAAATGTGGTTTTAATATTGGAAATCTTTGTGATAGCTTTAATATATATTTTTATTTTTAATTATATAATTTAAAGCTTAAAAAATAGTGTAGATTGAACAGATCTATAAAACTTTAAAATCTTGAAAATTGACGGTCCAAAAATATATTATAAGATGCACTATTTCAAAAATTTGAAACCCATTTTTTCTCATATCCATGCATCTTGATGTCGAGATAATCAATTTGAGGATATTTGGGCATCAAAATAACGCCTTCTAATGAAACTTTTGAGATGGGCTCTAATTTGATTGTTTAGTGCCCCGGCTCTCTATAAACTTTTTCCTTTAAAATAACACCAACCATAGTGGAGCATGCAGTACACTTAGTCCCTCTAAATGGATATTTTATATATGTTCATAAAATTATGATTTTGGGTGCACAAAGTGTGAACCCTTTTTTTTTTTCCCCTAAGAGAATCAGTATAGTGTTCTCCCGTGGGAGTATATTGTACAATTATTGCCCCGAATAATAGTTATATTTAGAGGGATTAAGTCTACAATAAGGTCCCATATATACAATATATTTATAAATTATCTAAACTATTTATAAACTATCTAAACTATGAGTTCAAACATTGGATGTTAGATCACTTACAACTTTATAAGAAAAATGGCTTTGTACGTCCAATGTCCAAATTATGATGCTTCAGACATTTGACATCTGAATTGTGGGTATGGGAATAAAAAAATGGGATGGGTAAACAAAAAAATATGGGGGACTACTTTTAGGTTTCTTAAAATGATAGGGTTTTTCTATAAATTTATTAAAGTATAAGAAAAATAACTATATTGATGTTGTTCATCAATTGGAACTATGAACAAGTGGAAGCATTTTGGTAATTTGATGTACTTGATTAGCGGCCAAAAAGACCACTAGTTTTTCAAGGTTAACGCATGAAACTTGATTTTTTCATTGTAAATATTTGTTCCATGTTGCGAACTTTGAATAACTATGCATATTTTGATCATTTGACAAGTCACTAAAGTGACGTAAATTATCAAAATGTGTATACTTGTCTTAGTTTATCATCATCATTTTAGCTTTTTCTCGATTAATTGGGGCCGGCTATACTTGTCTTACTTCTTAATATTAAATTGGAGCAATTTTATTATTTTTATTATATTTTTTTAAGAAGTACACAAGCAAAATAAAAGCTTAATACGCAAAATTGGTGATTTCACACCTTTAATCCCTTTGCAAGGTATTATTTCCCCTTTTTATCCCCACTTTTATAGATTGTTGTGGGGAAAAGTGGACTTTTATTCATTGTATAATAAGAAACTAAACAATAATAATAATACTAATAATAACAATAATAAGGATTTTTTTTTTATAACGTTACAACCTTAAAATGTAGAATTATACGCGTGCCTAAAAATTCCATTAGAGAATGTTGTTTTAATGTTAAAAAACTCTCTAAGTGATTATCTCGACATCGAGATGTATGAATATGAAAAAACAAAAAAATTTTGAGTCCCAAAAATAGTGTATCTTGCAATGCATTATCTAGACCATCAATTTTCAAGATTTTTCATATATTTATAGATCTACTTGATTTTAATATTTATAGAGTTTAAAATTTTATAACTAGATATGAAAATAGAATTTCAGATAATTTTAAGAACTTTTTACACCAAAATTACATGTTATAATAAGTTTTGGAGGTGCGCCTTATTTGATTGTTTAAGGTTGCAACCTTATGCAAACCACACCTTTACTTAAATAAATATAATACAAATTTATTTTTGTTTCAATTCGGATGTCTATTTATTTTTGCTTAAAACAATTACTTTTTTCTCCAAATATCAAATTTTTATCTTGTTAATAGATTTAAAACTATTACTTTTTTCTCCAAATATCAAATTTTTATCTTGTTAATAGATTTTCCCTTATTATTATTATTAGGGTGTGATTTCTATAACGTTGCAGCCTTAAACAATCCAATTAAGGCGCACCTCTAAAATTTATTATAAATATATTTTTTATACAAAAAATTCATAAGGTGCCTTGAGAATCTATTTTCATCTCTAAATATAAAAATTTAAACTCTAAAAATAGTTCAAATCAAGTAGATTTATGAGCATATGAAAATCTTGAAATTGGATTGTCTCGATAATGTGGTGCAAGATACACTATTTCGCAGACTCGAAATATTTTTTTCTTTTCATATTCATACATCTCGATGTCGAGAGGATCAATTAGAGGGTTTTTCAACATCCAAACAACCTTTGATGATGGATTCTTGAAGTACATATTTAATTCTACATTTTAAAGTTGCAACTTTATATAAACTTTGTCCTTTTAAGTAAATAAAACTTTTTTACCTGTACATTTGGAATTCAATACAATGATAAATAGATCTATAAAAAAAATGAAAAATAGTAGGCCTTTGCAACTTGAAAATAAAATGAAATCGAGGAATTTAGGTTTTATAAACAGGTAACTCCAACATCGGAAATGTAAAACATGCTTTCTATTTAAACCTGAAGACTATTCAGGTTCGGATCCCATATCATTTTTTGGATCCAACCCGACCCGATCTGGTGCCATCCCCAATGGTCAGGGTGGCAATTATCATGATTGTGGTGCTCCATATAAACACGAGTTTCCACATCATTCATATTGGCTTTATATTATGTAATGTAATTGAACTTATTTATTTATTTATTTTAAAAGTCCTATAAAACTCATTATCCTTGCGTATTGCATTTTGGATCATGGAATCAATGTGTGGTACTCAAACAAATCAAAGCCTTAATATATATAATTTTGAAAAATATATCAAAATACATATTAAATTAATGAAAATTAAAAAAAACCAAATTACTATTACTTTTGGGATATTTCTACCTTTTTTACTTGCATTGTTTAGGATAATTCACTGGAAACTGCGAAGTCGGCTCGGATCGACCCGATTTCAGCATTTAAAACACTGATAGGGGGTAGGTTAGATGAATTAAAAGGGAATGAGAAAATGAGTGTGAGAGATACTCGTTAAAGTGGGTGAGGCTAATTAAATAAGGAAAAGCATATGGAGAGAGGGGTATGAGATGATAGACAAGAAACAAGAAAAAAACTAAAAGAGTTCTAAGCTATTAGACCTTATAACTATATTGGTGGGGCTGAAAAATAACTTCAAAAGTTGTGCATATGATGGAGATGAGAAACCTAAAAATAGTCTCTTTCACGAGAAGAAGAACAAAAAAAAAAAAAACTTAAAAATACCTAGGTGAATTAAAGCCTGAGAGGAAAAGGCATAGAAATATTGGACATCTTTAATGAGTGATGAAGAAATTCAAAACACAATGGAGGTGGACGTGGAAAAATTTAAACATTGTATAAGATGGTTGAGAATGGGGTTGGGATCGTGGCCGTTCCACTACCTGAACCTAATTAAGGTCTAGATTTTCATTCTCATCTAACATATTCAAAACAGCGACTAACGATTTGAAAAACAAACAAGTACTCTGAATTACCAAAAAAAGAAAAACAAGAAAAGACAGTGAGAGTAGATAATGGATGGGAGTTGATGAGGAAATTGAGTGTTGCTAATCTTGTGCACGGCATTGAGTGGCTGAAAAACATTGAAAGTTGAGAGAGGGGCATTGAGTTAAAGCTTTGAAAATGACCCTTGAGCTTTTCTAGTGGATATTAGTTAAGGGGGTGAAAAAAGTATTTATCCACATTCCTAGAAGGCTTGAAAGGCAATTTCTTTCCACTCTCTTTAGCAAAGAGCATTATATATGCAACACACACATAAATTTGGTTTCATTTTCCAATGCAGGAATTTGATGGATAAATTTAGGTGTTTTTGTGGATTTTAACTAAGGGGGAGATTAAGGGATATATTTTGGGGATTTTAAGGGTTATTTTTTGTAGGCTTCTACTTTACATGGGTGAAGTAAGTTTTTATTATGTTTTAATGTTCTTTTTATTTTTTTGTTATTTCTGATTTTATTAGGAGTAGAGTTAGTTAGATATTTGTTATTGAAGGGTTTAGGAAGAATTATCATTTTATGGAAAAATTTGAGTTAAAATTTTTTTGGAGGTAGATACCTCCTTGTTTTTGTGATTTTTCTTTCTTCTCTACTCGTCTTTTCTATCAAGGCTTCTCAAATATCATTAGTTTAAGTGAATTAAGGTGGTGACTTGTGAAAAATCAACCCTAGTTTGCATCATTTTCTCATTTAGAGAGCCAAATGCTTTCAACTGTTTTTTAAGTTTTCTTTTCAATAATGGTGTAAAGGTGAAAAAGAGAGATTTTTTTTTTGATAATTCAACGGGGAAGACAAACCCAACATGTTTTTTCAAAAATAGTTTAGGAATTAGTTTTTTGAAGGTATTAGTGGGATGATGTTACTAGGAATGAAAACCACAACGTGGTAATTAGGGTGTGTGGCCGCAAGTGAACCTAACCCGCCCCCGCCCCCCCCAAAAAAAAAAAAAAAAAATGAAAAAAGAGAGATTGATTGATGCTATTGTTTAGTCAAGATAACGAGTTCAAAATAAAAGATTGTCAAGGATTCTGCCAATGATCCGAGAGATGTGTATCTCTTGTGATCTAAAGTGTCATATTTCGTTTATGTAATGGATTTCAACTTGTCATGACCATATTTATAAAAATTGTCTACAAAAAGATCATTTACCTTTTGTACAAAAAAGGTAACTGGTCTCTTTGTAGAAAATTACATATTTATATGCTATTGTTTTTGCTTTACCCCTCATACTCATTTTTTGGTTGTATGCGCTTCTTACACATTTTACTGATATCTTATAATCTTATGTGAGACCATAGTATTTGGATTATTGGTATCAAGGCATAAGGTGTATACAAGCCCTGGGGTTTGTATTTTCAATGGAGAATATTTTTTGGTCTAAAATTTTGAGACATTTTAAAATTAACACATGACTATTTCGAAATTTTAAAAAAAGAAATAAAGAAAGAAATGTTTCTAAAACACTTGGATAAGACAGTCAAAAAAATTAGATGCTCTCTGTTAACTCTTAGCATGTTATATTTCACTTACAAATAGATTACATTTTTTATGTTTAACTTTTTTTATCAAGGTTGGTTCCTAATCTCTTTGAACATTTAAAAATATCCTCCTTTCTCTCTATCCATCTATCTGACTTTTTTTATTTTTTTTAACATAATTTACAAGTACAGTTCTTAGATGTCAGCTGCTAACCACTCGAGTCCAAAGTCTAATTTAGTATTTTCTAAAATACTTTACAGTAACTTATCAAACTATTTAAAAATAAATATTGTTGAGTTCTTAAACATCTCCCCCTCTTGCCTCTTCTCTCATTGAAAACCAGCTCTCTTCAAAATCCAAAAGCCCTCTCTCCACCCTCTTTCTTTCATCAAAACTGTCATAAAAACACTTCATTCTTTCTTCTCATCAAAACTATCCCTAAAACCATTTGCTTCAAAAGATCTCTCTCCAAAAGGCCAAAGACTTCAAAATTCTCTCTCTCTCTCTC